AAAAAAAAAAAAAAAAGAACAGAATTGCCCATGTGCCAAACCTAAAAGTACTACCTTTCCTTTTCAGTCTTTAACCCAACAGCTCATCTCTCACCCCTGAGCCCGGCCCCAACCCAACGCATGCCTTTCTTTCTGGCCAGCCCTCTGCTCTCCCCCCTCCCCCCCCCCCCCCTTCTTCCCCCCCTCCCTCTTTCGGACCATTTCTTCTTTTGAGAGAAAACAAAGAACTGGGGTGAGAATCAAATGATGGATTGACAACAAAAGCAGGGGGCAGTGTGAGGAAGATAAAACATCTAGAAAGAGCTGCATGAAAAAAATACAACGAAATTTGTCATCAAGTATGAATCGGCGGGAGCATCACCCGCCCAGCTGTCGATCTCTCTCGACAACTTCCTCGGAGAATTTGATGAGCAGTGTTGTCCGTGGCCGCGGTTGTCCTTCCACAGGAACGAAGTGTGCGGTCACACGTGCCGGGAACCCTGCACTTTCCAGTACTCCTTGCACGATTCCAGCGACAAAGGCGCCGCAGTTGAAGGCTCCCATATCCTTGGGAACGGAGATGAAGCGGTTAACCAAGAGCTCCTTCTCACTGATCATGTACTCGTCCTCGTGCTCTGTGCTCTTCTCTAAGGAGTCGGCAACTTTGCCGAACAAGGCTTTCCAAACTGTGCTGTGAACAAAAGATAGGATCCCCAGCAGCCGTGTCTCGCGGCGGTTACCCTTCTCGCGGTGACAGAGTAGCTCAAGCATCCTTAGCCCAATTCCGAATCCAGAGGATTCCAGCTTGCGTTCAAGCTCCGCGACATTGTCTACACGAGTTTGGCAATATTGAACGAGCTCGGAGAACAAGAACGCAAATGCACTCAGACTAACCTCATTCTTCCCCTTGCCAATCGGTCTGTCAACCACATTGAGAAACTGCTTACTCCGACCAGACCCAATCAACATCATGCTATGCAGTCACTCCTTAACACCCAACTACACTACTTATCACCAAAACCCTCTCTCTCTCTCTCTCTGTCTGTCTCTCTCTCTCTCTCTCTCTCTCTCTCTCTCTCTCTCTCTCTCTCTCTC